TGTGGCACCGGGTCGTCCAGAAATGTTTTGTCAATAAAACTACTACTCGGAGGTCTGTCAATCACTTCCAGGAGGACTGGCGTCGATTGGATACAGTCATCGGTGGCCGTCATTGTCTTAACTTAAGTCTTGAATTATATGACAAAACGAATGACACTTTTGTCGACCAAAAAACTATTGTTAATTATAAGTAGAAACTTATAAAACACTTAAAAATATTTATAACTTTTTTGCCAAAGTTTTACATTCATAGCTCCAAGACTTGAAAAGCAATTGAAGTCTTACAAGAGTTGTGACTAACTTTTATAATTGATATTTGTGTTTCAAATATTGATTTTGGTTGCATTGAATGGGTAGTGCAAAGATTATTGATGATTTACCAATTGATTGGAAACTCAGCAATAATTCTATGTATTAATTCTGGTGATCATGAGTATCATGAGTACACACTGTACAGTACAAGTCAATATGATAAGATACCGGTATAAATGTAGTATTGTTTTTGATAATTTCTAATAAATCCATTTGCGAGTTCACTATTTAATACATGAAATGTTGGTGTTTTCATTATAGATCTTTGAAATTCCAGTTCAGGTTTACTTAACATTAGTATTGTGTTGAGCTTGTTCAGAAAACCCCTTAAACTGGTCAAATTGGCTCAACACTAGTGTTGATTATTTTAAATCATTAATTCAATTAATGCCAAATAGTTTCTGGTTTAGTGTTTATTAGATGAACTGATATTTTTCATTCAAACGACACAATAATGTTTTAGCAAATATTTATTATTTTGATAATTTATGCCAGATAATATCAAATTCATTTTTGTAATGGTTTAATGACTTAAAGTATAATACTGTACAGTATTCAAACATATGATATAACAGGGATTTAAAGTACTGTGTTTACAAGTAAGACATATCAAGTAAATTATAATGATGGTGATCTTTATATCTATAATATTGACTTTTAGGTCAAACCTTTTGTAAAAAGCAATTAAATGATTATTTGATTACAGTTCTGACCAGTGGTTAGTCTAAACCGGTTTATCAAATGTTTGTTTGAATTGCTGTCATGTGTGGGAATTGTCATAATGTAGACAATGATTAAAACTGATTTATCATTTATTAAGCACTCATTATTTAATTTCAAGTAATTTACGTCAAAATTGGTATTTCATTTACTCCTTATTATGCATTTCTTATATATATTTAGTAATCTTAAAGTCTATTTATAAATATATTTTATATTTTCTAATAAGATTTTCTTAGACACTTCAAATTAATATCAATAATATCCTTAATATTGACGTAAATTATATTTTTGGTAAATGTATTTATATATAATAAATTATTCTGCTAAATGTATTCAGTTCAATACTACAGTATTATACATATTTTTATTTGATTGAATTAGTTTTTGAAAATATAAATTAATTGGAAATGCACCATGATATCATATCTTATGTCTGAAACAAAGATTAAGTCAAATTCTTGTCACAAAATAAATCCTTAAATATCTATTGATTTAATAAAATAATTAATGATAAAACATTATCAAACTGGTATCGAGACGTGTATTATATTGAAGTCAAGAAATAGTTTTGTTTTTGTTAAAAGTAAGTAAGAAATCTGCTTTTAAATCAAATATTTTAAAATCTAAATACAGACTACAAGAGAAATATTATTTAATTTTTACAAAATTATTAAATATTTTTAAACTCAAAAATTATACACATTTTGGTGATTAGGTAATATTATATTACTAATATATGTGACTAGACAGTAATTATTAATAAAATAATGACTATTTTCATACACAATGCGGGTTTATGTTAACTAAATTTTCACTTTAAAAAATCTAAATTATTTTTTAAATAAAACAAAAGTCAGTCAATTATAGCGATCGTACAAAAACTATGGCGAGTCTATCGCTGCAATTGCTAACTGTATCCATAATTACATTACAGCGACAAATACAACACAACTACTACGGTAGTGGACAGACACCTGCGAACTGCACTCAATATGACTACATAGTGGTGGGCGGCGGTACTGCCGGTTGTGTTGTGGCCGCACGACTGGCCCAGAATCCAGCCGTTCATGTATTGCTTCTGGAGGCGGGCGGACCTCAGACTGTGATCACAGATATGCCGGGAAATACACTATTTCTGGTGGGCGGGGAGTTTGACTGGAACTATCACGTCGTGCCACAGACCAGTGCCGGCTTAGCCTATCCTAGCTTCTTTATCTCCAGAGGTATTTCAGTAACATATTTATTCATAATTCATGCAGTCATTAATACCAACCGCACCGGTAGGCAAAGTATTAGGCGGTTCATCGGTTACCAATTGGGATATCTATAACAGAGGCAATCGTCGAGATTATGACAATTGGGGGCAGAGTTATGGTCTCAATGACTGGACGTTTGATAAGGTTTTGCCGTATTTCCTAATGTCTGAGAATAACACCGATGCGAGTGTCAGCGCCAACACTGCCTATCATAATACGGGCGGACCTATCAGTGTGTCGACCGAAACACTTCCCGATCCGGTGGTCGTGGCCTTCATGATGGCCGCCAACAGTCTCGGCATTCCTATTGTAGACATTAATGGCGAACAACAGTATGGTATTGAGTTTAATAACCCCTATATTCAGTGATAATTTCCATAAATTAATGTTTCATGAATAACTATAGGGACAACAATCGCTCAAATGTTTTGGGATAACAGCACCGGTATTAAGTCGACCACAGCTAACGCCTATATTGAACGCTATAATCGCACTAATCTTCATGTCCTCACCCGAGCCAATGTCCGCAAAATACTTATCGATAGGTCATCGGCCACTCCCAGGGCTTATGGTGTGGTTTACAGTAGGAATGGTGTCAACAATTTATTAGCAATGGCCAGACGGGAGGTTATTGTAAGCGCCGGTATGCTATAAAATTGTTGATTCTTTGATTACAGTTAACGTTAATCAATACAAAATATATGAAAACTTTAGGCCCAATAAACTCACCGCAAGTCCTCATGCTATCGGGTATAGGCCCCAGAGATCACTTGCAATCGTTGAACATACCAGTGCTGGCAGACCTACCAGTCGGCAATAATCTACACGACATGGTGTTTGTACCGCTTTACTACCAGATCACGAACGCCTCATTCGTCGATCCCTTACCCTATTTTACGGTCGAAAATCTGTACAACTTGTACACGAGTGCGAGCGGGCCGTTAGCCCACCACCCGGACGGCATCACCTACTTGAACACTCGCAAAAACCAAAGGGGCTGGGATTGGCCCGACTCGATGGTCATCTCTGTGGTCGAGTATTTTGGCGACGATTTGGGCGCAACTGTCTCTCAATATATTAATAATATGTAAATGTTTTGAATTGAATTGAATTTATTGAGCATTTTTGTAAATATTATTTTAGTCAGCAATGGACTGATTACTGGCGCTCGTATGTCGGCGGGTATTATATGGCATTAGATCCTGTGTTAGCCCGACCTATCAGTAGGGGAACCGTACGTCTGAATAGTAGTGACCCCAACGGCCCGCCATTAGTGGATCCAAAATATTTGTCCGAAAAGCGAGACTTCGACACAATTCTAGACGCCGTCCGCCTAACTGTCTTAATAACACAAGAGGTGCCCTTAAGTGGTGTCACTGTCTTTCCTCCCATCCCTGGCTGTCAGTTATGCGAAAATAAATATATTTGCGATCAATATCTCAGTTGTCACGTGAAACAACTGGCCAGAAGTTATTACAACTTTGTGGGCACCTGTAGGTAATGTTATTCATTTGTAAATTATAATTACAATAAAATTAATAATTTTTAAATGTTTGTACGAAAGGATGGGTGACACCAATGATGGGATGGCTGTCGTGGACTCCCGACTGCGAGTGAGGGGTGTGTCTGGGCTTCGAGTGGTGGACGCGTCGGTGATCCCGGAGATACCCAACGGACACACAAACGCCGCCACTATTATGATCGCCGAAAGGGCCGCACAATTCATCGGTCAAGACAATCGCTATTAGTATTAGTTTGGTCTCTATTAGTGAATAATATATGAGTTTAAATGCAATTATTATTTATTTATTGATTACAGTATTTAAAAACATGTGATTAATGTAATGATTTACTCTAAGACCTCCAAAATTAATTACTTTAATAAACTAAACTATGTTTAAAACAAAGTTTTTCGTTTTATAAAAGTTTACAACTATTTAAAACATTTTACTCGTTTTATAAATTACTTATTTTAAAAATTTTATATACGCTTTGAAAGGATGATTGTCTTAAGAGCCGTCTGGATACAAATCATACAAATGTTAAAATTATAATTTTATTAATTGTTAAGTAAAAAACATTTCTGTTGATATATTTTAATAATTTGAATAACGTTTAACTTATTGTCTAATTGTTTGTATGATTTCTTGATTTAACAAATGATACAGTACAACTAATAATTGGATAATACTTTTATTTATATGGAATTAAAACATCTGTTTATTTGTTTATAAATGGATATTAATTCGAGTGGTGGACGCGTCGGTGATCCCGGAGATACCCAACGGACACACAAACGCCGCCACTATTATGATCGCCGAAAGGGCCGCACAATTCATCGGTCAAGACAATCGCTATTAGTATTAGTTTGGTTTCTATTAGTGAATAATATATGAGTTTCAATGCAATTATTATTTATTTTTTGATTACAGTATTTTAAAAACATGTGATTAATGTAATGATTTACTCTAAGACCTCCAAAATTAATTACTTTAATAAACTAAACTATGTTTAAAAGTTTTTCTTTTAATATAAGTTTACAACTATTTAAAACATTTTACTCGTTTTATAAATTACTTATTTTAAAATTTTATATACGCTTTGAAAGGATGATTGTCTTAAGAGCCGTCTGGATACAAACCATACAAATGTTAAAATTATAATTTTATTAATAGTTAAGTAAAAAACATTTCTGTTGATATATTTTAATAATTTGAATAACGGTTGTGAATAACAGATTAACAAACATACTAAAGAACTAAATTGTTTACTATGTCATGTTGATTATTAACCTATTATGAAAATAAATATACCTTAATTTTGTAGACAAATAAACAAATATTTACCTATAATTTTTGAAAAGTATGTTAATTACATAGTTTATCATTGATATAAGTTAATGTCATTATTTTTAGCAGGAACATAATACTTTATTATTCCAATATAATTTAAATTTTTCTATTTTTCCAAAAGGGATTCAATTGATTTCAATCATTATATTAATCGTATGGCTCGGAAATGTAGCTCTTGACGAAAATCATATGCGAGATGTGTTTAAATCCCATAAAATGTTTAATAATAAGAGAATGGGAAGCCATCCCATAGAAACCGACATTGACAATTTGTTACCCAAAAACCCAGCCAAAACCCAAAATCTATTAGCTACACCCTTTATAATACCCAAAATCAATGCAACTGCCTATGAATCTCGGTTTATATCTGAATTCAATGGCAACGGATTTATGAATGCAAATTCTTTTCGTGAGTTTCCAAAAAATAGCAGAAAATTTTCATTCAAACATTCAATTTCTGATTCTTCGACTTCAAACAATTCTATGACCACTGAATCTACAGAAACCACAATATTTTTGAAAAATACTATTCCTATGACAACACCAACTCCTATCACTTCTGTGTCTACAGATTTGACAAATCAATCAATACATCTTAAAGAGTTTCCAATAGAAAACATTACTATATCTACAATTTCTTC